AGCTTGATTGAGTGCCTAGGTTCTAACTAAGCCTGAAAAAGTTAGTTTTTAAGTTTTGGTTGATCTCGAGAAAAACCATCGTTTAAGGTTGTGGCTGAGCTTGTGAAAAGCCATTGCAAAAGCTTGGTGAAAGCTTGAGAATTTCACCATTTATAGTGAATTGTTTTGAAAAATTCTTAGTTGAACAATCAAGGTAGTGGATGTAGGTTTTTGACCGAATCACTATAAATCTCTGTGTATTGTCTTTCTTGTTTTATTTTTCATTTCATTCCTTGTTAGATTATTCCTTATCTTGCATTTAACTTCCCATCATTGAACTTGAACTTGCCCCCAAATAGAGGTCAAAGTTTGTAAGAGCTAAAAAGTGCTATTCACCCTCATTCTAGCACATTTATTAGGTACCAACATACACCTTTATTCCATGATTATCTCTTTTTTAATCTTTTATGATATGTTAATGACAATGATAGAAAACCATATTTTTAGGGTTTGATTATTTCGTGATATGATGCCCATATATGCTTAATAAAATCTAGAAATTTTACGCTTTATGTGATAAGTACATATGGAAAAAAATGGAAACATAGTTATTTAACCTAAAACTTTGTCTGATATTGCCCTTTCTCCTGAATGAATTTTATCCACAAATTTTATGTCATTGGATCCCATTATGATAAGCTTTTTATCACACAATATTTGCATCATTTAAATTTATATGTTGAGAGAAATCAACAAATGAAACTTAAGGATTAAACTGGAAAAAGAAAATGAAATCTAGAGGTTGAAGATGAAGTGCAAATCACAGAAACCCAATCTACTCTTGGTCCCAGCACGTTGATTAAGAGTAGGTGTCACAATTAGCTTTAGCTTTCGTGAATTATTATTTTTTAGTTTATGGACATTTTTGTTTTGAAAGTGATTATTATTAATTATATATTCTAATTATTTATTTGATTATTTGATCAGAATGAAAATAAAGAAGGAAAATTGGAAGTAGTATATTTTATATATAATGTATAATTGTAAAAGCAGAATTATGACATCTTAAACATGGCCATTTGATTTTCATATCTTAAGACACACATACAAATCGTTGACAACTATTACTATCACTGCAAATTAATAAGGGTTAAAAGGGTAGAGATGAAGGGAGCAAAACCACAACATGCAAAAACAATTGGTTAATGAAGATGCTCTAATTATTGTCACGCACCACTTTGTTCATTTCTTGAGAAGGAAGCCGGCAAATTATTATTATTATTATTATATTGTGCAATGTGAAACTATCTCTGTAATCATAATTAGTGCCCGCCATGCCCACACTTGGAATTAATAAAAACAACATAAATTCCAAGTGTGATGGTGACGGAAGGTGCCAAGAAGCAGGAGAGATAGCAATTGAGGGGGAAAAAGACATACCCTACATGTGGGTGTGGTTTGGGGACAAAGCAAAGAAAGCTTAGAGCGTGCAAACAATTCACATGGCCCTGACATGATCCTTACTAATCTCTCTTTCCTTTCACAGCTCACAACTCCAAAATCCCCCTCCCCAACTGCCCACTATTCCACTACTCTTACTGCTAATCGCATATATAATAATTAAAATAACACATGCATGTTTATATTCTATTTTCTTCTTTATTATTAGTAACACTGTATGATATATATATATATATAATTATATATATATAAACACTAAAATCTGAATGCATTTAATTACGTGGGTTTGGTCATCAAATAGGTTTTGTGAGAAATTAAGCACTACATTTTGGAAGTCTTTCCATGACGGTTAACATTTAAGATCTCAGATCTTAACTAAGCTTAGCCCTGATCCTGATGGAATGGTTCGAGGAATTTGAGATGTGGGTTTCGGTGG